GAAGCATTCTGTCATGCATATTGAGCCAAAACATGGAGATTACAGTTAACATTCTTATGTGCCTTGATCTTCTGTTTTGTATCTTTGAGCCAGTAAGAATGGGAAGACTTGGGAAGCCAGTGAGATGTGGGTCACAGTGTCCTCAGGATACGTGCATTTTAGCAAGTGCTGCAGGTGACGCTGAGAAGTGTTTCTCAGAACACTGGGTTCTCGGCACCCTGGTGATAGTGATGGTTTTCATTACAGATTACCGTCAACATCAGCCTGCAGAAATGCAAGCCAAAGTTGAGGTTATCTAAAATTGAAAGCTTGAATGTCAACAGCTTTTCATTTAAATACTTCCTGGAGGGGGTTACAGTGGCCATGGGAAGGACGAATCCTTAAAGTGTGGCAACAGTGAGCTAATAGTACGCGTCATATTGATTGTATGCTGTGCAGAGAGGATGACCTTACCCTTGTGAGGACGCAGTGGGGAGCAAGCAGTGTGAATCAGAGGGAGGCTTCTGTCCCGGTGTGTGCGGTTGGACATCCCTTATATTCTGCTTTGGGGTCCCTTGGATTATGACATCTAATACTTACACATCTCCGAAAGATTTGAGCAGCCCTAAGGCCTTTGATTCTCACAGCTTGGGTCCATGTGACAGGGCAAGCCTCGGAGGAGGGATTACAAAACAGGATAAGGAGAAGCGCCTGAGGCTAGGAGCAGCCACCAGGAAGCAGTCCAGGGAGGGGGCCGGGGCCGGAGGTGATGGCACTGACTCAAATCAAGCACAGCTGTTGGAGGTCTCCCCAAAAGGCCGACGCATTCCTGAACTCTGAGGCTTCCTGCTGTGCTGCTGTTAACTGAGACCTCGCCTCCCTGCTCCTAAGCCTGGGCAGCTATAAGGAGATGGTTTCTCCTTCCTTGCCCCTCTCCCCTCCTGCTGCCCCCGTTTCTCTCTCTCTTGCTCCTCCCTCTCTGCTTGTCCGTGTTCCTTTCTCTTACCTTATTTGTCAGTTGCCTGACTGTACCTTAAGAACATGATGTGTTGCCAGGGGTGGTGGCTCACACCTATAATCCCAGCACTCTGGGAGACGCAGGCAGGAAAATTGCAATGTCTCAAAAAAAGAAAACAACAAAAAAAAACTAAACAGTGGCTGGAGACAGAGTTCAGTGCAGCGGCACCGGTACCACACACACACAAATCAGCTCATCATGGCGTTGAGTTCTTACTTGGCCTGTGGGATGGGCATGTAGAGATCACAATGTTAGGGGAAACGTGTAGTGTAGATAAAATCCCTACCTGATGGTTCTGGTTCCTTACCTTGAGAATGAACGCTTTAGAAGAATGAAAGGCCTCAGGCAGTGCGAATTGTGAAGGGTCCTCAGAAAGCATTCACTGGCATCATCCCTGAACCGCACTCATAAAAGGTGTGACCAGAAGGCCAGTGTGGATAGGCATCAAGAAGGTTGAGATTCTCAGCGGTGTGGCAACCGGAAGACATTATCTTGGTCATTCCGCTTTATTGGTAATGCTGAGGGGCATAGAGCTTGCTGTTTTCTTGAAAAGGTCTTGGTCTGATCAGGCTCTAAGGGGATAGAATACCCAGAATACTGAGGACCTGACAACCTAATTAAAGAGCGAACTGAAGCGTCTTCCCTCCGTGATGGGCCTTTGGCTTTGCCGCCTTCCTCCACACGGAGGATCTAGCTGTCTCAGCTGCATTGCACCGCCTGCTTATGGCTTTGCCCAGATCTCATTTTCTCATGAGTCCTAGTGTCTTCTCTTCTTCCTATCACTGCTATTCCTAATCTTTTTGTCTTGCTTTCCTATTTCTTTTTCCATAATATTTATTTATTTATTTATTGGTTTGGGTACCAGGAATTAAACTCAGGACCTTGTGCTTGCCAAGCAAGGCGCTGTGCCACTGAGCCATATCCCCGGCCCCATAATATTTATAATTCAATATATTATATAATGTACTTGATTTATTTCTGTCTCCCTACACAAGGCTGTAAGCTAGGTGGACAGAGGCTTTCGTCTTCACTTACACATCCTTGGAGCAGTGCTGGGTGTAATAGTTGTTCAGAAAATATTTGTCCAGTGACTGAATGCTTTCCTATATGAAATTCAATAGGAAATGATAGATGTATTAGTATTAATACTAATTAGTATTAATACTATTATAATAATACACGTATACACTAATACACGTATTAGTCACTTGATATGAATTCTGGATAATGTTAAACATTTCTAAATGAAAATTGTTCTCTCTCCCTCTTGACCTGTCAAAGATGTCTTATCCTTAAAGTGTGGATCAGAGTTGGAAGATGATGGGTTATTATGACTGTACATGGGTGATTTTTCTGGTGCAGGTTACTGAGTTACTACTTTATGTCTTAGTGTCTGCTGTGAAAAACATTACAAGGCTGTGGTGTGGAATAAATAAATTCACGTATTTAAACCATAGGGGTTGGGGATGTAGTGTGGTGGTGGACTGCTTGCCTCCATGCATGAGGCCCTGGCTTCGGTCCCCAGCACTGCAAATTAGAAGAAAAACATAGAAAATGGTCTGGAATTCAGCAAGAGCTTGATAAACATTTATAGATATGTCATTTATTTAAAAATTATTATTTGATATATTTTACTATCATTAAATGTGCTTACTTTGCAAAAAAAAAATTAAATGGCTTATCCAGTTTTCAAAAGGAAACAAGCTACCAATAAATACACAATCTGAGTGTCTTCTATATGCTTTTTTTTTTTT